TGGGTCTCTCCTTCGCCCAGCGGGATCTGGAGCAGCGTGGGGGAGTGTTCCATGATGCGCACGAGCAGCTGGTCGATGTAGTTCTCCAGTTCGCGGATGTGCTCCTCCTTCTTGCTGAGCTCCTTCTCCCTCTGCAGCAGCAGCTGGATGAGTTCGTCGTGCGTCAGGTGATAGTACTTGGCCGACTGGTCCGGGACGGTGGCATCCTGGGGCAGAAACCAAGGGAAACGGTCAGGAAGTCGGTGTAAACCTCAAGCTCCTGGTGAGTAGAACGAGCCCTGCGAAGCTCCCCGAGGGCAGAACCGTGCGGAGCAGCGCAGGGCAGCGGAACCGGCCACATCCCGTCAGGAGGGACAAGGTGGCGAGAGGCCCCCTGTAACCTAGCTGCCACCAAGGGCTTTTGGGGCCACGCACAGAGGCAAAAGCAGAAGGCAGCCAGGCAAGTGGGACCTCAACACGGCTCCTCCTCGTTACCAACAGAGCCACATCACGAGGAGGTGGGAATGTGGCAGGGGGATCCTACCTTTATCTTCTTTGAGTCCGTCTTCTCCAGGTGGGACACTGATGCCAGGGGCTGCACGCTGCTCGTGGCGGCCGTTCTCAGCTTCTCCGGGCCGCTGCTCGGAGCGCTCGTGGGGCTGAGCGGTCTCACGGCGTGGGGGCTGCGGGAACAAGCAGGTTGGACATCAGCACCCCACGCAGCTCGCACACGCACTGCTCCCCGTCCCCGCGCACGGGGTGGCACCTGCTTGTCAGACTCAGTCTGCTCCCAGAAGAGCCCGAGTCTGGGAACAGGGAACGCGGAGAGCTCTCTGGCACCATCCCCAGGCACGGATGGGATCTGTGTCCACACGGAGCAGGAGGACTCGGCCACCGGCCTCTAGGGCTCCATATCACAGAATCCCAGAATGGCTGAGGCTGGCAGGGACCCCTAGAGATCATCCGGTCCAACTTCCCTGCTCCAGCAGGGACATCCACAGCACGGGGCACAGGGTGGCATCCAGGTGGGTTTGAAGATCTCCAGAGAAGGAGACTCCACAGCCTCTCTGGGCAGCCTGTGCCAGGGCTCTGGCACCCTCACAGGAAAGAAGTTCTTCCTCACATGGAGATGGAACTGCCTGAGGTTCAACTTGCACCCATAGAGCTTGTCCTGAGATACATTAGCCAAAGCCACGGGTAAGGACAGCACGTCCCGATGTCCCTTCCTTGTCAGCTATGAGGGGGTTTTGTTTTTGCCTTGCTGTTCAGCCCAGCTGAGCTGTCTCTGTTCATCCAGGCACTTCATATTGCTCCCGGGCTTAACCAAGTGCCTGTTTTCCAGAGTGACAGGGACAGCAGTGACCTGATGCTGCTTTCCTGCCATCACCCGCAGTCCTGCGTGCCAGCACTTACGGATTATACCCTAAAACCTACCCGGCAGCTGCCCCAGAAAGGAAATTCATCCCATGCGCTGCGCACCCACTGGCACTATGGGGGAGAGACAGCGACCACAGCCACCAAGCAGCGTCCAACAGCCAAAGCATCAACACTCCAAACCCAGGGAGAGTCCTGCCTGCGATTCCTTCTCTCTGCGCTGCAGCTTCCTGGGGCTGTCATGATTTGCTCTGCTCTTTACGACAGGGATACAGGGATGCCCAGGCTGCACATGGCAGTGCCTGGAAGGCGCCTGAGGAGGTGACAGGTCACAGCTGTGAAGGGAAGCGGCTGCTAGAGGTAAGAATGAAACCCAGCCTTTGAGTAACACCTCAGAAAACTGCCTGTGGAATCCTCTGGAAAACAGATTTATACAGAATCTGAGTGTCACATGCACTTTGCTATAAAATAACGTTACCAATACGGTAAGAATTGGAATCTCCTGAAAGCATAGAGGCAGAGAAGGAATCCTCTCGCTGCTCCTGGAAGTGCTTGTGAAGGACAAGGTGGTTTGGAAGCGCTGTGCCAGTGTGAGGGGGACGGTCTCGCACTTGGAGAGCTCAGAGGTTTAAAATGATCTTAGAAGTTTTTAGCGGAAACAGCTCAAGACAGAGGAGGAACAGTCCTGGCCTCTCTCCCTTTCCCCATCTCCCAAGCAAATCCTGTGTCCCAGCATAGCCTTCAGGGATGCTCCCAAGGTCACTGCTGAGCATGGTGGAAAAACCGGAGGAACCTCCCTGCAGCACTTTGGAAATGACGCCCATGTCTTCTTATTAAAATGCTCCTCGGACGACACAACGAGACGGATGGAGGCCAGTCTGTCTCCCAGCTTCCAGTGGATGAGCTGCTGTACCCGGAGCAGCACCGAGGGCCTGGCCTCCTCAGAGAAACGTCCACATAGAATCATAGAATGCTTAAGGCTGGAAGGGACCTCTAGAGGTCATCTAGTCCAGCCCCCCTGCACACGCAGGGTCACCTAGAGCACGTGGCACAGGACTGCG